AAACTCTACTCGGTTTTGATAAGGGAAACAGTGAAGCCCTTGATGAAGTTACTACCACTGATGTGATTGTTACCAATGATGGGACGCTCCCTGATGAAGCAGATGAACCCCACATGAATCAGAAACAAACGAGACGGAGACCAGTACGGAAGAAGATACGTCCCGTAAAATTAAAATACTTTGTTGAATTTTAATTTTGTGTTTGTAAATTCTGTACATTTAATTAAGTTATTGTTAATTGTTTATTGGTTTAATGTAAGTGGCTATTGTTCGGGACGAACAATACTAAGGAAGGGGCAGTGTTACGTGAGCGGAAGTCAAGTGACGCTAGTAACACGTCATGAGCTTCTCGAAAAATCATGTCCCTTCGGGAAGCCTCGAGTGTTTACTAGATGTACGGTATTCTTGTATATAAGACCGCCAAGAAGTCACGGCAACAATGTAATTGAATTTCAGACAGAGATAGAGACGGACAATCAAAATATTAAGCAAAACTATATACAGCTATTCATATTACTTTATGTATCAAATATATATAAGTTTAAAAATTCACATTGGACTAGTAGCACACATGAAATTTTGAGGCAACTCTTTTTTTCACCGCTCAAACAGACCTGTGTTACGACAATAAATCTAATCACCCATCAATATTGAAAATCTGAATCAAACCGTCTCTAACTCCTTTACGTTTCAGAGCATACAAATTCACAACTTTAATTTTAAGTTTTCTTGCAGCTTTCAGACAAAAGTTTACTCTATATTTGGTGGTTGTAGTTTTTGTATATTATTAAACCAAATTATAGCTTTAACCTGAATAAAAAACGTTGATATCTTTCCAGTGAAAAATACCAAACTGCAAATAATGTCCAGAATATACTCACCAGAAATAGTGCTTGCGAGACTAAAGTAGCCTCAAACGAGATCCCTGTAAAGATAGAGAGCGAAAAAAAAAATAGAAGACGCTAGGCCTACTCAGACGTTTATTAAGAGTATTAGGCTTAGTTTCTATTATGTTGGTTGTTTGATAGGGCATGTTTTTATTTTACTTTTAGTGTTACTCCTTTTTTTTTTGTAGATGTATATTAAAAAAGAAACATTTAATTAGAATGGGAGAAAAAACACAATATGAACCGGGAGATTTGGTGTTTGCCAAAGTTAGAGGATATCCTCCATGGCCTGCTAGAGTAAGATTTTTATTTTGTTTGTTTGGCCTAGCCACTTGTACTACTAGTACTACAAATATTAGGATTATGTAATAATACTATTAATAGTGACTAGTATAGTATAATAGCAAAATAAAAGTATTGTAATATAATATTGATAAAAATAGTAAGACATTTGAGTCATTATTTTTTACCTATTCTATCTTAAAAGTTAGAGTATCAACTTTTAGCAATATTGGTAAGATTAAGAGCATACAGGATCACATATAAAACTTTAAAAGGTAGAATGAATTTTTAAAAATAAAAAAACCCGAAACTTGGGCATTTTCGAATTGTTGACTATTTTTCTTCAAAAGAATAAGGGGCAAGAATTTAGATAATATTAATAACAACTCGTATTTAAATTTTTACTTCTAATTCATATTTTAATTTTCAGTAAAGCTATACTGGTACTATAGTAAGTAGTAGTACTAGTAGCTTAAAATAATGTATATTTTATGTATGAAGTTTTGACAATAATTATTAAATTAAACATTTATCTTTTGTAATGTATTGTTTAGTTATAAATTGGAAATGGCAAGGTTGTAAGGTATTGTTACAATTAGATCTTAGTTCTAACTGTAACAGAAGTTACAGAAATTGTACATTGTAAAACCAAAAGAATGTGATGTACCTTGTGATCTAAAACAGACAGCTTTAAATCTAATTTTAATGTTTGACAATTTTGCAGAACTTACTTGAGGATGTTTAGTACGCTCTCGTTTATAGTTGACAACTTACATGTACAATAACAATATTAAGCGTACCACTGAGTTACTATTATACATGAGATTTTGAATACTGTGTGAAACTTTTAATATTGGTAGCATTTGAATAACTTGTAACTGACTGTGGCATTTCAAGGTAGTAACATCAGCAAAATTATAAAATACTGAAGTAGATACATTATGGTTAGATAGTTGAGATATACATTGCTTTACTGTTTACTTTTTGGAACATAGGGTCAGAAGATATACTTGATTTTTAACTTAATGTTTGTACATATATATATTCAACACTTTGTTCTGTATAAACATGTGTATATCAATGATTAAACTGCAGATAAATCTGTGATGTAATACAGTACAATATATATAATTTAACTGAGATCATTGTTCTTGCAAGAACTATTTCCTTGGATTGCTGCTATTGAAAAATTTTGTTATAGTATAATGTTTTGTAAATTTAAATAATTTATTTGCTTTCACAAGCTCCATATAAAGTAATTAAGCATTTAAATATAATGAATGGGAGCTACCTTTTTTTTTAACTCCTTAAACTTGAATGGTTGCTGCTAGCATCTGGCCAAAATTCCCGATTTACACACTGGAAGAAGACAGCATCCAATAACATTTATGTCTCTTTGGCTAAAAACTAATCCAAGCCATGTTATTATCCACCTTTTATAAATAGACCAGAAATTTTTAAGGTATGGTTATAATTATTAGGACAGAATGGGCAAAAAATTATGGGTTTAAAGAGTTAAGTAAATGATATGTTTTAATCACAATAAATATATATATATATATATGTAATGATTCTCATTAGGGCTAGAATTTGGTACAAATATTTTGTTTTATCATGGCTGTATGACTCGTTTCTCTTGAAGTTATTACCAACATAGGTGGATTTAGTGCTTTAATTCAGATGACATTTTTTCATTGAAAAATAACATACTAAAAATATTTTAAGTCTTACGTTATCTAATGTAGAAAGTAGTATAGAAGAAATAGTTTTTACATTTGATTTATGTTTTTAGATGTGGTTTGAGCTCTGATGAATATAAAAAAAGTTTGATATAATCATTTAAGTCATAACATACAACTGAAAGTGAACCCTTCTTTCAAGTTTGTAACCAGAACACATTTTTATCTGACACGCATGCTGATGCATTCAAGCTCAGTGAATATTCCTAATAAATATGATCCACTGGTGGGTCAGCAGTAAATTTATGGACTTACAGTGCTAAAATTCAGAGTTCTCTTCCTTGTGGTTCACTGAGCTGATAGCCTAGTGTGATATTGCACTGAAACAAACAAATTTAATACATATGAATATGAAAATTACAAAAATGATCAGGCATCATTAGGTATGTTCAGAAAAGCTTATTTAAGTGGTGATTGTTTTTTTCAAAAACAATATCCTTATCATGTAAAATGTCTCTGCTTTCAGATTGAGGTTCTGAAAAAATTGATAAGTGAAGGTGAAATTTTCTAACATTTTAAACTTAGAAATGTTACATTTTTATGTATATGTGTATGAATGTATGTATAAAATCTCTCAAACTACTCACTTTACAACTTGATACATGTGGACCATCTGTTTGTAGAAGTACTGCTTACTTCATTACAAATGTATAAAACAGTTAGTGTTTGAAGGATCTATTACGTAATGCATAACGAAAACAAACATTTCCTTCGATTGAGTCTATGATTTCACCATGGGTTATAACAGACAACAAAAAAATGAGCAGAGCAACACTACAATTTTTTTTTGATGATATCCTTCTTGACTTTCCATTAATCTTCTATCTCCTGCTTTTCTGGAATGATCTTCTCAGCTTGTTACCTTATTGCCTTGAGAAGTGCTAAAAGTATCTCATACTTGTGGTTTTGTGTAACAAGGTAAAGCTACTTGCTAACTTTTTTGAAGAACTGACTCACTTGTCTCATGTTTGTTATAGAAATATATGAAGAATCACTTGTAGCATCATTACCTAAGATACTTCAGTGCCTGTAATGCACACTCATGTGTTTTCATAACAGAGTATTAAGAAGCCTTGGTTGGGTAATTGTTTTGACATTAACCATTCTTCCATAGCTAGAGAGATACTAAAAGGGGTCATGCTTGTAGCCATGTCACTATTTTGCATGTAATCTGATTACAGGTGCATTTTGATATGAACATAGACCTTAGATATTTATTTGCCTATTTGTTTTTAACGAATTGAACTGTTAAGTGTTTGCTTGTTTTCAGAGTACAGTTGCATGGGAAACTATTTCATCATGTAGATAAGTTTTCATTGTATCTTTTATATATTATTCATAGAAGAATATCCATAACTGATTTTGTAAATTGTTTATAATGGATATTGCTTTTCTGGGTCTGGATTTCGTTCGAAATATGTGTAGAAACGTCAGTGTTTCCTTGTATAACATTTGATGTAGGGCTAAAGCTGAAGAGTTAAAGATTAAAAAAGTGCTTGGTTGTATTTATTGCATGCATACACGCGCGTGCACACACACACACACACACACACACACATATATTATTATACTTTAAATGACTTACAGGTTATTGAGATGTTTTGAGTAAACAGTGCTCATGTGTAAAGTTTTTTTCTTTTATTTATAGATTGAAAAACATCCAACAGTAGGAAAGAAAGTACCTGTAAATAAATATCCTGTTTTATTCTTTGGCACATATGAAGTGTAAGTATCATAGAATTTGCTTTTTGTTTGGTACGTTTTCATCAATAAATTAAGGAAAAAATGTTTTGAAATGCTCAGTAAGATAAAAAAAAAAGCTGCAAGTTGATCTGCTGAAAATTGGATCATTCAGTGTTTGATTATTGTAAATATTTCTGAAGCCAATATATTAATAGGGTTGACCATTTAATGTTTACTTTACAATTACTCTAATTATTTTATATGAAACCACTGAAGTGATTGCATTGGGTTTATTTTCTTTTCTCTGCAAGTGAAAATTTGGTCATATCAAGGATAAAACATTTTTTAATGTATTGGGGTTTGTTTTTTTCTCTGCTAGTGAAGATTTGGTTATACCAAGGATAAAACATTTTTTAATGTATTCGGGGTTTGTTTTTTTTCTTCTGCAAGTGAGGATTAGGTTATATCAAGGATAAAACATTTTTTAATGTATCAGGGTTGTTTTTTTTTCTCTGCAAGTGAGGATTTGGTTATACTAAAGATAAAACATCTTTTTAATATATCAGGGTTTGTTTGTTTTTTCTCTGCAAGTGAGGATTTGGTTATACTAAAGATAAAACATTTTTTTAATGTATCAGGGTTTGTTTGTTTTTCTCTGCAAGTGAAGATTAGGTTATACCAAGGATAAAACATTTTTTGAATGTCGAGAAAGATGGGCTGTTGTTCCTCTTTCTATTTGGAACATTATGCTTTCTTTAATTTTGTCTGGAAATTTTTCAACAAATCTCCCTTGGTCTTGCACGTAATATCTTTCACTTCCTTATTTCTTAGATTGGAACCTTTAAAATCTGTTTTAAATGTAAGCAGGTCATATTTTTGGTTGATTCTGTGAATTCACCTAAGGACCATACCCCTGACAGGCAGATGAGACCCCTATTCCTTCCTACATATAAAATGCTAGATAGAAATACTAAGTAGTTCTCATTCCTCTCCAACTTAGAATACTCTGTTTATAATAGTTTTGGTGGTATTGCTCAGAATATTTTCTGTGAAAAGATCCATAACAGAGCAAGATGTTGGCAGTCTCTCTCTGACATATGATCATTATAGACTCTTACTATTGGTTGAACAGTGTAGTAGAGTATTTCTTAACACTTTCATTTTTACTCATGATCTCATTCACATGTTATGAAATATAATGCTTAGCTAAATAAACATACAACATCAGGAACTCAATATGTTGTTATATTCCTTTCCCAAAATAATATACTAGACTCAGAGAAGTCTCTCTAACTTTCTAGTTGTTCTGTTTTTTATATTATATGCAAGAAGATAAATTCAGTAGTAACAGTGTGACAACTTACCATTAGATAGATGAGGGTTAGTGTTATTAGTAACCTCAAATAATAAATTATCTTGTTATGAACTTGCAAGTTTTTTTTAGAATTTTGATTTATTTATAGAATGTATTAAGTTTTTTAGTAAGCTTTTTATTATTGTTTAGACATGTATTGTGGATTAAGAAACTTTATTTACTAGGTTGGTAAACTGAAAATTAGTGCTTTTATTTTCAGGCACTTAACTTGTGAATGAAATAATCAATTATTAGATAACATAAGAACAACAAGGGACCATTTAATCTTCCTAGGCTGTTTTTGCATGCCTACCCTTGAGAAAATTAAAAATGTTAGCCCACCCTTTATTTCCTTTATTTTTCAGGAAATCCTTAACTCTCTTGTTAAACTCCACTACATTTGATGACATCTCATTCCATAAGTCATTCATCCTGTTAAAAAAATAAATTTTCCTTAATTCGAACCAGACATGTGTAATAATTACCCGTCTTCAGACATTAATAAAGATCATCAGTTTTTCAGCCATGCTGTTATTCTGTTTCATGTGTTACTTAGGTTCAATTTTTAAAAAGCCATAAAATAATTTCTTTCATTTCCCCTAGTGCAGATTAATGCTTTTTACATAGTTTTTAAGTTGGGAGGAGGAGGAAGTAGTCTGAATTCTGTTTTTATCAGTGGTAAAATTCATGTTACAAATGTATGTTTTATATATATATATATATATATATATGTGTGTGTGTGTGTAGTAGGCCTTAAAAATCATGTAAACTGTAGATTTTTTTATTATATATATATTCCTCCTAATTTGCCTAAAGTATGGACAAATCAAAAGGAATTTAGAAAGCATCTATATTTGACATGATTTTTATCATAAATTGTTGGTCTTTTTGTTTCTAATGCTTTGCCAGATTTTTCATTCAAACCTTTAACTTTTAAGGTACTATACTGAATACATAAATAATGTTTCAGAGAATCTCTTGTCTCTCATCATCCAGCCCAACTGATTAGTTCTGGTACTGAATGAAAAGTCTCTTAGGCATGACCTGTGGAAGACAGGAGATAACTCTGAAATACTATTTTTACACAACTTTAATTTGAACCGAAATGGACAAATTTGGAAAAAAGAACATCTGCAGTTTACATAATGTTTATCATGTATATATGTAGTTTGTGTTTATTATTTTTTTTATTGTTATTATATTTAGAGCTAATCTTGCTTCTAAGGATCTGTTCTCTTATCACAAATACAAAGACAAGTTTGGAAAACCTCAGAAACGCAAGTTTTTCAATGATGGCTTGTGGGAAATTGAAAACAACCCTAAAGTGGTTCCTCCAACTGCTACGGTAAGAGCTGTTTTTTTTTTTAGCATTTTGTTGTGATAATTCTGGTTTCAGTATCTTTAATTGGTTCATGATTGTAATTTGTTTTCATACCTTTATAAACAAACAAAAAAGTTATCAGTCAGTGAATTTCTTGTAACTGATTTCTAAGTCTAACTTCCATCAGTGCAGAAGTGTTCTAACCATAATTAGCTCTGGACTTTTAGCTCAGTTAGAAAAAAATTCAATGTATGATTTTTTTTAGTTTGTAAAAATGCTGTTATACTTTTCTATGGTAGTCCATTACTTTGTTTTTAGGAGTATTAATTTGTAATAAGTTTCAGAATAAGTATGTTATCAGCCTTTCTAAAGCTAAGCTAATGTTTTGTCTAAGGAAGTACATTATGCTAGGAAATTTGTATATATAAAACACAACGATTTGTAAACTAAATGAAGTATTTTAATACTTACTATATGTTTGACAGAGCATTGGTCTGTCGAAACATGTAGTATGTATTAAGATATTTCATTATGCTTACAAATTGTTGTCTTATATGCACAAGTAAGCTGATGTTATAGGTGATATTCTTACTAGATATTGTTACGTCTCCGTGTGTTAATTAATTTTCCGTAACTTCGTTCCGACGAAACTTAAGCGACACAAGCCTTTATTTAATAAAACTGGTTTATTCTTTCCGAATATAACTTAACAATATAACTTAACCGATACACTCAACAATCGCGCTAAACAAACGCTATAGCAACGAACGTCAATAATACTCCGACCGCAGATCAATTACTCACTATCTATCCACACATTACATTCCCCTCTTTTATATACCAGCGTACCCTATTTCTAGTAAGAACTTGAACATTCGCCAAAGTACATGATAGTTCTAGAAACGTTGCGTCACAGTGTCATGTGACTCGCTGACGCAACAATATGTTCCAAAACAGATAGCATAAATAATTATGACTTGTTGCAGTTCTGGTTGTTTGACTAATAAAATTTTTAATATTTAGTTGTTTATTAGTAGAAACCTTGATTAGAAATGAGCATATTTTGTAATTATTAAACAGGATGAAAGCTCAGATGACATGGAGGAAGAACAAGATGATAGTGAAGCTGAGAAGTCAGAAAGTGAAGATGAATCTAAGTTAGTCATTGATGAAGACAGATTAAAGGTTGGCGGGATTTTGATCCATTAAGTTTGTGTTATCGAAAAAGCATATTTGTGTATTATTTAAATTGGGCTAACTTTTCTGATAGACAAAGCATTTGAATTATTATAACCATCTGGCTTTTAGACCTGTCTTTAGTTAAATTAATTTTCAAAGAACCATGATATCAGTTTGACTGTGTATTTGTAATGAAATTCATTATATAAAGTCATTTTTGTTTGCAGTATTTTAGTGTAATTGAATTATGATGTTGGTTGGTGCTTTTCACAGAAATATTTTGGATTTATAAAGCTTAAAACCTTTCTGAAATTTAATGCATTGATGTACTTTAAAGCATTTTTATGATATAATTTGTTTATGTATGTTGTCATTACATTTTTTGATATCTTTATATTAGTCACAAAGTACGTTCAAGTAGTTGAGAAGTTTCAAGCAGTATTCTATCAAATACTAACAACAGTATGTGCATGTAGAATTACTATGTGGCTTTTTTTTAATTTTTTTCCAACAATAGCTTATACATATAAAAGACAAAGTCTGATTAAAATTATAACCATACACCATAGGTTAAACATATTAACAATCTGTTTGCCCCTGAAGAAGAAAGGTCCACCTTTCAAAAGCGCTATCAAGACTTCTTGAACCTACGTGTTTTTCTAACATCATGAACATTCTGTTGTGATATTCTTCAAATATTGTGGCCTAAATGTGTTTTTTCTGTATGTTTTACCATTCTTGTTGTTAAATGTTTAGGTGTATTTATTTCATTGTTTTAGTGTAGTTAAAATAATTTTAATCAATACGTTCGCAGAAATTTTAGTGCTATTATAATTTAAAAGTGCAATTGTTTTTTGATAAAATTTGTCATTCATCTTCCAGACAACAGTGAATAACGTTTGATGCCTGCTATATATACTGATACTTTTTGTTTGGCTTATCATTAATGAAGGAGAGTTAGGTATTTATGACTCACTCATTGACCATTTTCCAGATGATTCCTCTGTCCAGACTTTTAGGGGTCATCTCAAATTTTTTGTTCATCTATGGACTCTTGGGTTCATCAGATTATCTATTCAATTTCATCATTGTCTGCCAATTTATATGTGAATATTTGGTCTTGGTAGTTTTGAACCTTTTACAAAATCAGTAGATAATGAAGTTATGCTTCATGTTTTTATTTCTGGTACTGAAGAAAACAGAAGATTGGAGACCAGTGGTAGATCTTTCCCATCTCAGTTGCTATTTAGACATTCCTTCTTTCAAGATTGAACCTATGAGAATCTTAGGGTAATTCCTTCCTCCGTGTTTTTGGACGATGAAAATGGATATCAAAGATTCTTATTTACACTTTCCAGTTCACCCATTTTCTCATTAGCTTCTTTGTTTTTTACATCTAGGAATGGCTTATCAGTTCATGGCCTTACATTTTTGGTCTGGCATTTAGACCCTATTTCTTCAAACATGTAATCAAAGCATTATCTGGTCTTTCATGTATACACACACTCAATATAGATTTTCATCATTGTATAAGTGATTGGATATTCTTGACCAGTCGTTTACTCACATTCAGTTGATCACCCAATTAGTTTCCTCTCTGGTATTGTGTCTACTCAATTCCTAATACATCTGACATTTTTGATCAACACATTTCAAGGAACTCTTCACCTGTCTTTGGCTTTGCAATCCCTAGAGTTTCAGGTGGGATCTTGCACTTTAGAGGAGTCTATCCTCAGACCCATTGTCTCATAGAATTTCTCCTACTAACCTCAGTTATCTTTAAGTGTGCCATTGTAGGTTCCCCTTTTCATCCATCTTCTGTATCTTTTCACTGATGTCTCTATCTCCGGCTGTGGGATGGCTTGTGGTCTTATCAGAAAGACATATTCATGACCAAATTTGCAAAAACAAGAACTAAGAGATAAATAACTATACATATTTTTTTTTCTTTTATGATGTACAATGAAACCTCATTAATCCATATACATTTGTAATGAAGTAGTTTTAGATTACTGAGACATCCAGATAGTGGAATCAGTCACTTTGAATACAATGAACACTCTATTAATAGCATATGTTATTGATTGATAAATATAAAGATAAAATCTAGTAAGGGTGGGCATACAACTCGTAAACAAAAGACAACCATATATGCAATAAACCTATCAGTTTGTTATTTTATGTCATCAATAATTAAACAAGTTGCATAATCCAAATCTTCTGTGATTATCTTCACATAAATCGTCACTTTCTTCAAACCAATGATTTGCTTATAGAATATAAAACATACAGTATTACTTTCTTATATAAGCAAACATCACATTTTAATGATGCTGATATTTATACTTATCTTCCCTTTGGAGCACTGTGACTTGGCACGACTGTAGCATAAATCATTCTGATGATCTCTCAGTATCTATTATATTTTATTTATATCTTCTTACTGTGAAGGTTGTTCTAAAAAAAACTGTCATAAACTGGTACCCACTAAAAGTGCAGGTGTTTTGTGATCAGTAATTATCATGTCAATTTATGTTCTAATTTACCCGTACTTGACACTCATGGGATTATTTACAAATTACTAAGTTATGTATCTACAGAGAATGCATTTTTTTAAAATACAAAATAGTTGTTTGGATTCAGAATACAAACATACAGATTAGAGTTTAAATTTCATGTAGAAAAGATTTATGTTTATGAACATTTATCCAAAGTGGGAATAATTCAGATTGTTGATGCCCTGATGAATGAGGTTTCATTGTATTTTGTTGTTAACTTTCAGTCATAATTTGAATGTAAGACAGCACTAACTTTTAACTTTGATCATTTAATTTAATGGTTCTAATAACTTTTCTTTCATGTAAATTGGGTAAAAGTTAATTTTCTTTCTACAAATAAAATTAAAGAGCTTTTTTTTTTGACTGGTAAGACTGATAAATAATTTGCAAGTCAGAAGTCTGAAACAGTTGTGTTTTAATGTTAAGTTGTATTTTTTTTTATCATATGATCAATAGCCTGAGCCAAGAGTTTTAAGTTCACAAGTTATGTGTAATAAGTCATGAAGATGAGATAAAAATAAGCAATATATATCAATTATTTATAAAATCAAAAAAATTCGATTAAAATGTATGGTTGTTGGTTCTGGTAACATATAAAGTTAACCCTTTTCTTTCTTTAACTTTAGGCCAAACCCTTGCCAGGAAACCGTAAACGAAGAAGTGATCAGAAAACTGATAAGGTAAATAGTCAACTGTGTTAGATTCAAGGTTTGATATCTTAACATTAATATATTTCAAGTTCCAAAGAATGTTAAATTACAAAAGTATTAGTTCTGGTAATCCTGAAAATATTACTCAAGTATTATTACATTATTATACTAAACATCAGATAAAGAATTATTTCCAGTTGCTGTACAATATTCCTAGGTATTCCAACCGAGGTAATGAAAAGAATGTTATGTGCCTTATAAGAATTACCATTTTTAATTATTACAGTTAGTCTGTGAGTATCACTAACTTAAAAGATATTGGTTATAATCAATATCCTCTTTGGCTCACTGTTTTGCTATGATTTTCAGTTATTCTATATTCTAAAATTTCACACACCTAGTCTAACAGGCTAGACAAAACCAAGACAATCATAAATTAGTCGTGTGGTGCCAAAGTACTCATGCAGTGACTTTTTACAGAGAGCCATTCAACATGGTATTATGCATTTGATGTCAGAGTTATCATTTATTACTTTTATTCTACATTATTGATTTAGTGACAGTTCATGGTAGAGGAGAGTAAATACCAGATACAGTGTACAGGGATACTGAAGACAACTGTAAATATGTACTTTGGAGGTTCTAGAGATTATGAAAATGTAATATGAAAGCTGTACAATGAACAAAAGTATTTTTATTCTTCACATGAACATCACCTTACACTCCAACTTGTCAGAGTCTAAGTCAGACTGATGTTTGCCAGTTGCAGACATATCCTGAGTACAAATAATTTGGTAACACGTCTGATTTTTTGTATACAACAGACTTGTACATTTTACTAAAAGCTTGACACATTTTTGTGTAGATACATGGGGTCAGTCCATTGGATGCACTCTTTGTGCATATGGTTAACTAAAACATTATAACACAATTGAGTAATGATATTCATATGATTAACAGTGAAAGTAAAAAGATGTTACTTATAATGTAAATGGGAGAGTTTATTTTACCATACCTAGAATATTTGGTTATATTTAATACAAAAAAAAAAAGACTAATACCTATCCTAAGGCATGGTACGATAACATGGAGTGGTTAAACCATTGCCATATTTTCATGTCTAGGGGGGTTTGGAGGCATACCCCCCCAATAAATTTTAGCTACAAATACTGCATACACACAACATAATGTATTGAATTAAAATAAACAAGTTTTATTACACAAATTGTATCTATACTTGCCTGAAAAAGTGGTTAGGCCATGGCCTGACTGGCCTTACTGCTTACTATGGCCCCAGAAGATGATGATTATCAAGCTGTGTTATTGCTTTCATGTTACCAGAATTTCAAGAGGGCATTATAAACTAAACTTTGATAAATATATAATTAAATGTGTCTTTTTCATTTATACAGCTAGTCAAGGCAATATCTATCTTATGAGGGAGATTTTCTAAATATCTATCCACAGGATGTATTGAGCTGTGTATGACCTGGTGGTTAGTGTGATGGGCTATGAACATGAAGGTCATGATTCACTCACCATTACCACCCAAAATATAATTTGTGCTTTGCACTTTGGGGCTTTAGGTGCATCATAATTGTGAATTGTCAAATCCTGCTATTCAGTTACAGTAGTTCAAGGGTTGTTGATGAGTGTTGTTGACTAGCTGTCTTCCCTCTTGTCTGTTGCTTCAAAATTAGGGACAACTAGTGTAGATAGCCTTTGAGTAGCCTTGTACAAAATACAACGAAACAAAAAATCTAATCAGTATTTGGTTTTATTACCCAGAAGTTTAAAGTGTCGACTCTCAAATTTGTTTATAAAAGCTTTTAAAACAGGCATTTCTTCTTTGTATGCAGAAAATAGGTTACAAGAGTGAACATCTGTTTTTCTTTTTAAGTTTAACCTGTAGTACAGGCAGAAAGTAATATTTTTTTGTAAAAAATAAACTTTTATAATATAAGGTTGTTTGATAAGTCTTGTGCTTTCTCTTAAAAATGTTGAATTTTTGAATTATCTAATTTTTATGCAGACAAAAAAAACAAAGGTTGTTAAGAGCATGGTTATTAAAGAAGAAGATAAAGAAAAAAATGCTATCCACAAGGATGATTTGAAAAGTGAAAAAAAGGTAAAGGGATTTTTAATTTCATTGAAATAATTCATTAAGTAATTAATCTTTTTTTTTTCCTCCTCCTTCTAGAGATAGCATATTTTGTTCTGGGTTAGCATACCAGACTGTGAACATGTAAACTATTCATTAAATTATTGATTGCTTTTAATTCAGCTATCACTTGGTATTCCAGTGTAAATTAATTCAACTTCATTTCATTTTTGTGTGTAGGGGTTAGCAGGCTAGGCTTTGAACCTGAGGATCCATGGTTCACATCCCATTGTCCCAAAATAACCTTATTTTATATAACAATAAAAATGTCAATATTTATAAGTTTTGATAAATGTTTTCTAAAATAATGGCATTACTTCCACAAGTAAGTTATTAACTAAAAATCTTATCTAAAGATCAAAAATCTGTATTATATCTCAATCATGTATATAAAAACACTTAAAAAACTCATAACTCAAGAGAAAATACTTTTCAGAAGTATTTCTTTGAAACTACTTATGGGTCATTTGATTGTGAAGTGTGTCAAAAAAAAAGAAACAAAGGTTTTCTTATTGGGTCATTATTTTAAGATATAGTAACTTACGCTGACTGTACAGTTAACAGATCTCAAATCTAAACTGGTCACATACATTGTTGAGAAATTGAATTTATTCTACTTTCCTTAAGTACCTTAAGTATCAAAACAATCAGTTTTTAATTTCTGCATAAAAATAGATTTATCTGCAAAATCAGATAATAAGCTTAGGTCCAGAATATTTCAAAGGCTAACAGATTTATTCCTTTTATGCAAAATTCATTTGAACCATATACTCATCTCTATAATGTGACTGTCCTCATGATATAAATTCTACAGCTTCTAAAATTCTGGGAATGTAAATATCTTTTTATAGGCCTGTAACAATTTTATGCAATAAATTCCTCTTACGGTTTTCAATGAAGCTGTATCAAACTTCACTGGAATAAGTATTATTTAATGAATTAGTACAGATCCCTCCTCCTTCATCAAACTATCCCTCTCCATCTTGAAATTCAATGTTCCTAAAGACTTCAATATAATCATCGCTTTCTCGAGGTTTTACAAGGAATTCTGCTCAAAGTTATCAATATAAAACCTAGCCAATGGACAAGAGAGTAAAGCCTGTAGTTGTTGTTGGTACGTGTTATTGCCATTTTGGGTGTGATCTCTCCCACTGTTGTTGACAAAAATAATACAGTTACATTTGTGAGTAATAGTTATATTTAAAGGTCAATGTCACATTGAATCCAAGCTTATTTTATTATTTGTTGAAAAACTATGTTAGGTTTTTAGATATTGGACTCAAGTTCTTCATAGAGATCAAGCTGACTCCGAGGAGACTAGTCTCACTAACTCAGTATGAAATTACTTATATTTCTTTTTTGTTGCCAAACATGACTCAGTGACATACATAGATTTTTGTTGTACTTAAAAGGTAATGCAGTCAGTGTCACAATTTTTAAAATATAGTATTTTTATATAATTTTTGTTAACAAACTTGATCACATGGCAATGCAAACTGAAACACTTAAATTTGCTTTGCTTTTTCCATGCTGTTTTTATTTTTGTGATACATAAAAAATGGATGTTAACTAGAATATACTAAAAGAGCTGTCACTAAAGTGTGCATGTAATTCAAAGATATGTTTCTTTATTTCTCTGAACATCTAAAAGTCTATTCAGTTATTATTGTTGTCTTTGAGATGAAAATTTTTATTCAGACCACATCTTGATTAAGAAATTGATTTCTTAGAAAATATGTGGTTTTAATCATGAGCACCAAAAGTAAATCTGTACAAGTTATAAAGAAGAGTAGTGCTTTGATAATTGACATTGTAAAACATGTGCTTGTAGTGTCGAGCTACTAATACCAGTATTGATGAAATAACTTTCCTTGCCTAATAATAAGTTGCTGAATGATATGAGACTATCTTGAACAGGAGGAGACACTCGTGAACTGAAGATGTATAAAATGTACAATTCATTAGAAGTTGCTATTCAAAGTATGTCTGTGAAGGACAGAATTGAAATATTTCAAAATGGTAGCTTATTGCTCACTACTAGTACATGAGTGAAGCAAGAGTCCTGAACTTTCTACATAGTATTTCAAAATGTATAAATATTTAGATTACATTTTACTGTTATGGATATTTTTTACATAAAGACTAGGAATTTATGTTTCTCTGTTAATTTTCACAGAAAAATAAACATGAACCAGAGACTAAGAAGAAGAAAACTGCCAAGTCAGAGCCTGAACGAAGTAGAAGTGGGCGAATGATAAAAAGAAAGAAATTTAGCTCAGACAGTGAATCAGAAGAAAAAGAAACTGAAGAGACAAAAAATATTAATGAATTACAAATTACAGTCTCTCTAAGAAAGTTGTCAAACAAAGAAGACCAAATTGTAAAGGAAGAACAATTACAAGTTACAAACTCAGTAAGAAAGTTATCAAACAAAAGAGGCCAAATTGTAAAGGAAGAACCAAAGGAATTACAAGTTACAAACTCACGAAGAAAGTTATCAAACAAAGAAGACCAAATTGCAAAGGAAGAACCAAAGGAATTACAAGTTACAAACTCAGTAAGAAAGTTGTCAAACAAAAGAGGCCAAATTGTAAAGGAAGAACCAAAGGAATTACAAGTTACAAACTCACGAAGAAAGTTATCAAACAAAGAAGACCAAATTGCAAAGGAAGAACCAAAGGAATTACAAGTTACAAACTCAGTAAGAAAGTTGTCAGACAAAGGAGGCCAAATTGCAAAGGAAGAATCAGACTCTGCCAAAACAGAAAACAGAACAAAAAAGGGCAAGATGAAGGAAGTTCTTGTGAATACTTCAGGTAGGGTATGGGGAAATAGTTACTTAAAATATTATAAAACATGTAAATATTAAAGTATTTATTATACGCATCAATATTTACTTTGTGGTTTTAATTTTGTCATAGGGATATGGATATGTGTGTTAAAAACTTTCTATTTACAGCCAGAATTTTTCTTTGAACAAATTTACAGTCAAATTTTTTATTTTTTTTGGAACTTTCTGTCGATTACTCTAAAATTATAGTCATTAGTAGCTGTCATAAAACTGTATAATAGATATGTGTCTAATTACCCTAAAAAACACATGTCACTGTTAACCCGACGATTACCGGCTACCAACTTTCTTAGTAG